AAAGAATGTGTGGAGAGTCAAGTTGTCTGTGGGTAAAATTATTGTTTGTTTTTAGAAGATAATTTATATATGAGATTTGCAGGTGTAATGAATATTATCATTGTAATTTTCTACAGGGTTTTTCTTGGTAATATGTGGACTTCAAAGCAGAAAGATAAACTCACTTTTGTGCAGACAGAGCTAAGGCCAGTACATGATTTTCAATAGGAATAATACTGTCCAGATCTCTTTGAATTAAGGCTATGTCTACAAATTACTGCATAAGAAACACTTTTCTTTCCCTCAGTAGCCTAAAAATTTATATTGCATTTTTAAATTTGCATGTAATTATTTGTACTAGTTAATACAATTATTAGTTAATGTATTAATTATATTAGTTAAAACTTTTAAAGACAGCTGTTTCAAACAGCATTAACTGACGTATCATGGGTCTGAATTCTCTTTTTTACATACTACATAGCATTATTTGCATATAAGAGTTGCAGCAGATGTGGTTTTCCCTAGGCTATCCCATCAATTAATTCTCATCCTCAAAGTGAAAACTGTTTTAGACTCTTCATGCTACTAAAGTGATGTTTCTCCTAATTACACTTTTGAAATGGTTACTTTATAGACTTTAAAATTATCTTAATAAAGGCAATCAGCCCTGTCATATAAGCCAGTCAGACTTGTTCTTTTGCAAGAGCTGTCAGTCAAAGCTACTGATCAAGAGCTGAAAATTACCCACCAGGACCATTGTCCCAGTGTGCCCTTTAGCTAAACTCATGATTAAGAGAAAATTAAGAATCAAAGAGATAAATGGAAAAGTATTAAAAATGCAATATACTGGTAATGGGTGGTCAAACACTAGACCACATTGTCCACACTGTAGAGTCTCCACCTGTAGAGTCCACTGTCAAGAAATTGTCCAAAGTCAGCATTATGTAATAATTGGGTGCTGAGAATGACTCTAGACTGGTAAAATTAATCATGGTTAGAATAAACCAGTGCTGACGTGGCGCTTGTTGACAAACAGCTGAGATGCACAGCCTCAACGCCTCTGCCTTCCTCTGCTTACAAAATGTATATTTTTCAAAGGGTAAGCTAGTAAGTTTATCACTGAACAATCGGATATCCCCCAGAATCGTATCTCTGCTTTTAATACATGCAAAGTACTGCTTAGAATAAAAAACTATTAAAAGCCATTAAAAAGCTTTGATGAATACTAATTATTCTAAAAACCTTATTTCTGCTTACTGGAAACATTCTGTTTATATTCTCTGCTTTCAGGCCTGCAGAGGCTCTGACTTTGATGAATACTAATTGTTCTAAAACCTTGTTTCTGCTTACTGGAAACATTCTGTTTATATTCTCTGCTTTCAGGCCTGCAGAGGCTCTGAATTTGATGAAGGTATACAAACTGACTCTGGACCTGCCAATGACACCCTGGAGACAGATGCCAACCCGAGATACAAAATCCCAGTAGAAGCAGATTTTCTGTTTGCTTATTCCACGGTGCCAGGTGAGGAAAAGAGGGTCAAGATGGGGGGAGAAGCCTGAAAACTCACCATCCATACTGACTGGATTGGAGATGGACCCCTGATGATAAATTGTGCACTGATGGACAAGGCACAAAGGTTTGGTGTGCCTTGGGTATCCCCCACTTCTACACTGGCTGCAGAGGAAAAGGGAGATTTCAGATGGCAAAGGGAATGTTCTGGGAATCCTGCCCTTCTGTGTCCTGGTGTGCTGAATGTGTGATGAAGGCAGGAAGAGGAATAGTTACAGCACAATAGTTATTCTCTGTGTAATTTTACTTCTTGCAGATTCCCTTGTGCCAAAATGTAGAGTGGTGCTTAAGCAGTGTGTGGTTTGGAGAGTTAATATACGTTATTCTCAGTTTTAATGAAGTAGGATGTGGAATATAATAGTTAAGAATTCAGCTTTCAGTGTGTGCATTGTCAGTCTTTACCCAGAATCTTTCACACAAAAGAGCAAAAATAACTCCCTGTATTTTCTTCCTCGTCGTTCCTGCCAGGTTATTACTCCTGGAGAAATCCTGGAAGAGGCTCCTGGTTTGTGCAGTCTTTGTGCTCTGTGCTAAATGAGCATGGAAAGCAGCTTGAGATCATGCAGATCCTCACTCGGGTCAACTACGTGGTGGCCACCAATTTCGAGTCGCAGTCGGACGATCCGCGCTTCAGCGAGAAGAAGCAGATTCCCTGCGTGGTCTCCATGCTCACCAAGGAGCTTTACTTCTGAAGGGGCATTTTAGTGCAGGTTTTGGGTGGAGATGTGATTGTGGACAGGAGTAGCACACTTTTAATAACAGAAATGTGGTAAGGCAAGATTTTTTTAATGTTGTATAAGACGGGGTATCTGATGGATGGACAATATGCAATATTTTAAAGAAGCTGTGGGCCAGCCTGACAGCTATTACTGATTATTGTGTCTTGGTTTCCCTTAGTGTGGCTGTCATGATTTATGGCTACTGAAGATATTATGAGTCAGCTACCTGACCCATAAAGCTTTTTCCCAGAAAACAGATTGTAAATTAAAAACAAAAAGATCTTGAGACTCCTTCTCATTACTACTAGCTCATGGAACCATAACCTCCTTGGAAATTTCCAAAGACCATCATATTATGGGTATGTCCAGTAATAAAACAGTTTGTAGCTATTTAAAAGGGTATTTCTTAGTATAATATATTAATTTTCTTCCAGTGAACATCATTCATGAAGGCTCATGGTTGCTCTGTGCTCAATCTGGAAGCCAGCTTACTTAGTCATCGTTCTAGCATAAGATGAATGTATAAAATAATCAATATTTTTAGATTATTTACCTGAACAATATAGAAATGTAACAAGTAGAACAATCAAAATTAAAATCTTTGTAGAAGATTGGCAGATTTTACTTGGATGGAACCATATTTAAGTGCCTTTGTGAAGATATTTTGCCTTGCAAATGACAATTGACTGAGAGAACAACCTGAAATAATGGTATTGCATTTCTTCTGCTTGCAGAAATAAAAATATCTGCTTCTTGATTCAAAGGTTAATGACAGGGCTTTAAAACATTAAAATTTAATGTTGAAAAGGTAGAATTATATGTTCCAGTAACAAATGTATGTTTAGATTTAACTTCTAGATATGAGGAGTTTTGCCAAAACTGGAAATGGTTACTTGAATCAGAAACTAGAAGTGCCTTCTTAGTTACTGTACAGTCTTGATTTTGTGTTTTAGAGTTTTGTTGGTGATCTTTATATTTCTACTTTTTATATTTCCTTTAGTTGGTAGCTAGGTCAAAAAAGTAAGTTTAATGATTTGGTTAAACTGATAAACAATTAGTTGTTCACCCTTTTCCAGTTGATGTACTCTACACTCCTTGCAATCTTCTGAGAAAATGAAAACCAAGTTAGCAGATGGTTAAGTTTATTTTCTTAAAAATACTGTGACATAGTGAGATACATATTTTTTGATAAATTTACAGTTGTTTGAATTAAATAAATGGTGATTTATGGAAATACTGAGCATGACATCAATAAAAGCCTTTTTTAAAAAAATTCTTTTGTATTTGTTTGTCACTCAATCTGGTAAAAACCAGCCAAGATATGTCCCAGTCCCTTTCTCTTTAAGGAATGCAGGTGGTCTCTGGCATCTTTTCAGTAGGAGGTTTACAGTGTCAGGGGAAAGGTAGGTTAGAAAAGTAATTTGGCATTGGGTGACTTAGGTTGGACAGGCCATGTCCTCTCTTGGAGTAAACCAAAGTTAGTGGAAGTGTTTTAGTGGAAATTCTGTGTTCCACCACTGCTTCATCTTGCCCTTTATACACTAAATTGTACCGTGCTCTAGCAGTGCATGTAAGTGTGTTCTCCCTGCTGCTTCTGCCAAATAGCTCCAGCTTAAGCTATTTTCTGGAATTAAGGATGTTCCTGGTTTACCATGGGCAGCCAACATTTCAGTATTTGTTACTTCTCTAGAGGTTCTTTCATGCCTTAAGTTCATTAGTGTTTATTTGCTTGAGATCTAGCCTGTTTTATATTTCTGTGAACAATATTCCCCTGTGTCCAGAACTTCAGGCCAGTTCCAATATATGAGATACAGAAAAATCAGCATAAACTACCGGAATACTCTGCCAGAGAGGAAAGTAACATGGAAAGATTAACTCAGAGTAGAAGTGAAAGACAGAGAGAAAAACATCCCCTTGTGTCAGGATCAAGATCTCTGCTAGATGAGCATTACTTTAGATCATATCCAGAAAAAATTAATATTTTTTCAAAAGAAGATTGTGTACCAACAGACATCACCCCTGAGTGGTGATACTGAGATAGCTGAGAGCTGTGCAGCCCATGAGCCTGAAGGATCCCACTCAGAGTGAGGAGCCCTTGACCCTTTCAGCAGAGCCAGGTTGCTGAACAGTGATTTAAAAAGATTCAGGGTGTTTTAGCTTTTTTCCCTGATCAAATTTATGACTGTTTTCTATTGAAGAGCAATTCCCTTGCCATCTACAGGATTAGCCAGATGGTTTAGTGTGTAAATCCACTTTCATTATTGATACATTGAATGTTTCTGGAGAGAATCCCAAAAATTCACTTTCAGCCAAAACTAACACTGAAATTACCTTGTCATGACATGGGCAGCACAAGAAATCCTGCTTCACCATTGTATGTTTAACTAAATGATCTTTAAATCTGAAATTGGTTTCAATTTATGGCACTTTTATGATCTTTTAGGGTTCTTACTGCTGCTTTATATTCCAGCCATGGGTGGATATTAGGCTTTAGAAACAGCTCAGGAAATGAAGGGACTGTTCAGAAAGCTGAACCAAAAAAAAACCAGGCTGTCTGCAGGATTTTTTTCTGTGTGGGAGACATTTATCACTGCCTCAAATGTGCATATTTTTCATTGCTTTTAAGTGAATATTAATCCTCTGGATTTCCCCTCTCCAGAGCAGTCTTTGGTTACTTCCCATGCAGAAACAGGAATTTCCTTGTGGGTCATATTTCAGGGTGTTTGTGTTTATACATGGATTGTAAGAGGGCAGTCACAATGCAGGGCAAGGTCTCATCGTGTTTTGCTGCAGGAGGCAGGACAGGGAATCTGGACTTACTTGGGGGTGCAATTCTCTAATAACCTTCTTCACCATGAAGACATTTTGCTTGTAAGTATGAACACAGTTTGTTTTCCTTATCTTAGAAATTTTTGAAGTTTTATAATAGCTTTCATCATAATGATTTGAGGCATTTTATTTGCATTTTGACTGAAATGTCTCATTGCATTTCAAAAGGTTTGAAGCAATCAAATCCCTTAATGCCTGGCATACAAAAATCTGAGGGGTTATAATCATGGAATTGGCATTTTGAATTAGACCTATTTACAATGTTGTTTTCTGTTGAAAAGACAACTAGATGTAACAATTAAAACCTTTTTCCCAAAAGGCAGAGTGAGATAGCACAACTAATCTCACAGGTGCTTGTCTATCCATGCAAATCTTGACTTTTACTGACATCCAGAAGAGACTTTTATCCTGTCAGAGACTCTTGGAACATTGTTTTGTAGTAATTGCATTGTTTGCCAGTTGAGGTGACTGTCAGTCACACTGAACAGAACAATACATTGCCTTTCATTCCAACCCCAGGTGTGTGCCCCTACTATTGACTTTGTGTACTGTCATTTTTAGTTTTGGAAATTGCTTTTTTGTCCTTTTATTTTTCTGGTAGGCAACAGATGAAAACTCTAGAAGCAAATTTCATAACAGTTTATCACGGCATTTGGACAACAAATATTTCCTCCCAAAAGGCAAAAATTGCAAAGGCTTCCCTGAAAAAAAACCCTAAAAAAAAAACAAAAACCAGACAGAAATGTACAGAAACCTCTGATGGACCTAAGCTTGTAGTGGGTCATTCCCATTTAGAGCCGGAACAGGAGAAATAAAAGTTTATAGCTTTAATTGTGCCTCAGGGGTAAAATTCCGTGTGTAACCCACCCCATTCCTGACCAGCCTACTCCTGACTGAACCATGTTTACTTTTGGCACCATGGAGATAATCACTGAAGAAAGAAACAGAGGAAAGCCCTCAAATCTCTCACTGCAGCCAGGGTTCTCAGTAGAGAGAGAGAGCAGCACTTGTAATCCTTCAGATTTTCCCAGGAGAGGCTCTGTGGCTTCAGGTGGCACAAGGGGTCTGTGTAACCTCATTGTAGTACAACAACTTCCAGCCAAGACCTGATTTTGCAGGGAATGAGAGTTCTGAGGTAAGGCAAAAGGAATCTTTTGAAAAGGCATTGTATTATTATGACAAATTTGCAAATTATTAAAATTGCCATAGTATTATAACTGTATTTTTTACGTATCTTTTTAACTCTTTAGGCCAAGTTATGCCAGTTTTGTACAGGACTGATCATGCTGGCAAAGCAGTGTCAGAAACATACATGGATGCAGCATTCCTAGGTTACAGGTGTCACCAGTGCAAAGAAAGGGCCAAATGAAATTCTCTTGGCAGCTCTCATCACTTCTAGGCAAATCATCTTTTTGGCTTATAAAAGTGGATAATATTTGTTATTTGTAATTTTGTGATTGTATTATAAAGTAACAAATATAGCATATCTGCATAATTTAATATTATATAAAATTATTTATAAATATATTACAATTAATAGTTATTATGGCTGTTTTATGTATTTTGATCATCAGTATGAAAATAAAACATTGTAAGATTTTTGTTATTTTCTCAACAGCAATTGTGTGTGCAGTGAAATGCTTCTCTGCAGCAAGCAAACTGAAAGGAATTAGCTTCAACACTTTTGCTCTTTTTGTTATCTGGGTGGAAGAAACAATCAGGATGGCTTCTACAAATAAAATAAATTCTGCAGGTACAAAATTTCTTGTATTACAATTTTTCAGTAGTAGAGTTGTGAGCTCATCTATCCTTAGCTGACTGAATGCCACCTATGAATTTCTTTGGGGCTGTATTTCAGATTACTGATTGTGAAGCTAAATAACACCAGACCCCAAAAGTTAAATAAGATCAGTTAAATAAGACAGCAACTCATGATATCTTCTGAGCCCCTACATTTTCAGAACTATTACTTTGCAGTTTGGGCCAGTTCTCAGCATCAGGGAAGCAGGGCCTGGCTCTATATTTTATAGCCTTGATTTCTGTTTGTCTTATGGCCATTTAAGCACAGAAGCCCAGTGCTAAGCAACAATTTCCAGTTCAAACAGGTCTTTTTAAAGAGATAATTGGCAGCAAGTTAAGTAATGGTGCTGTTCATTTCCTTTGATTAGTGAGAATTCAAAATATATTTTGCCCTGAAGGTGGAGTCTGCAAGCATGGATTCCTCGTCAAGTCACCACCTCATCAACTTTTCAGCTCACAGGTATACTAGCACAAATTAGTCATATTTCAGCAATCCCTCATATCTGCGATCCTGAATTTGAATGAGACACAAATTTCTTTCTCTTTGGCAGAATTCCTGGAAAAGGCGCCTGTTTGTCCTGTCCAAGTCCAGCACAGGGAATTACATCCTGAAGTATCTAAAAGGCCAGCACATAAAAGGCTCCATTGCTGTTGATCAGTATGTAGCTCAAATGCATCATCTTTTTTATTTTAAGTCATGTATCAGCACTCTTCAATGGCCACTGACTGTACAAGCACTTGTTCCTGACTGAACAAGTCAGGATTGGGTTCTTGGTTCAAACCCAATGAACTCCACAAAAGAGTCCCATGGGCTTTGTCAGCTTTGGGTGGAACTATGATATATGTAGAAGTGAAAATCCTGAATTGCTTTATTGTAATTACTTTTGTGTGAGTGATTGTGATGTATCAGCCAGTGAGATACCTGGCCTGGCTCCATGATCCCAAGGCTGTGTTCCTGCAGTAGAACGCATTTCACCTTCCGTGAGGACAGTGCCATGCTTTCACTCACACGTGAATCACGACAGGCTGTGCCACTCTCAGCTGTGGCACACACCCTTTCCCTGCTTGCAGCTTCACAAAGTGCTTTACAGCTTTGTGCAAAGGTCTCCTGACTTTCTTATAACCCTTTGGGCTGATTATGGTTGCTCACTGCCTTTTGTTCTGCCAAGAAATTGCCCTGCTTGGGTTTGGGTTGGTCATTTCTCTCCTGTCAGCACATGCCTACTGCAGCAAGACTGAGTGTCACTGGCTTTGGACTGGCACCCTTTACCATGCCATGGGTGAAATATGTGCAAGAGAAACAGAAAATGTGATGGGAAATGTAAATATTTCCTGTCAGATCTAGAGGTTAATACTGCAGGCTCCTGGAATTGTTAGGCAAGGAGGTCCCCCACCACATTGCTGTTGTGCTTCTTCCATTAAGAGGATTTACATTGTGAAGCTTTCAAAAATATTGCAGCTTGCTCAGTGGTCTGTGGTTACATTATTACCATAATTATTGTTGTTATTACTTTTATTAATTTGGCTTCTTGAAAGTTAATGGAAGTAGCACTTCAAGTGCTTCAAGTACCCATTAAGAGTACTTCTGTTCCTCTTCCCCTCCATTAAAACACTATTAATATACAATTAGTTTCAAATCAAATCTATTGTTTTATAATGGCTAAAAAACTTCCACAAGAAATCTTTCTTACTGCTGTCTCTTTTCAAGATTCTGAATTAAACCAAAAGCCCCCTTTTCCAGAAATGAGGATCCATAGTCTGAGCACTTTGGAAAAGTTAATTTTATATTTTTACCTGGAGATTTTCTTCATTGAAAAGACCACCTCTTTTGAATGTGTGCATTTATTTTCTTGAGCAATTTTTTCTGTGGAAAAATGTTTAACTTTTTCCTTGAAGATCTCATCATATTATGCTCTGCTCAGATTAAAATATGGACATACACACATATATGTGTGTGTCTATTTGTATGTAACTGTGTAGAGTTATAATGTTAATGTTTCCTATGGTTATCTTCACAGAATCATAAGTATTCAAGTTGGCATAAGTAATGCTGAAATTATGGATACGGTGAGGAAGATGTTTAAATGCCTTCCTGAGCAGGTGATGTCCATCATCACTGGAAACAGATGTTACTACCTCATTGGGGACAGCAGGTGGGCATGGCAGGATGTGACAGTGCTGTTAAACTGATGTAGCTCTAAACTGTGCCCCAAGGAAGGGTCCTGCTCCTTCCCTGCCACTCCCTTCCCTTCTGTGTCTCAGCTACTGATGGCCCAGCTCTGGGATGAGGTGATTCAGCTGCCTGATCCAATGGAAAACAGCTTTTTTCTATGGCATTGCTTCCCATTACTCGCAGTTGGTTAATTTTTTGCTGGTCCAGGCAGGTGATCTCACCTTCCCTGCAGCCACCCAGTCACAGCTCCCAGCACGTGAAAGCAGAGGGAGGAAAGGGCTGGCAGTGGCACTGCCATTCCAAACTGTGCTGCTCAGGGGACAGGAAAGAGCAGAGACCTTTGCCTTCTCACCCAGCAGCTCCTGGGAGGTAGAGGAGGTTCTGCTCCTCATGGATAAAAAACAATATTGCCTGAAAACTGGGTTATTAATCAAGGGAAGCAGACTGAAGGCAAAACTTGTCCTGGAGGAAAACAGATCCCCAAAGTGCTGGCTGGGGCTTTGCTGCCACAGGGGGTGTTGTCCATGCTTTTTCAGGCTGGAATTGAGTCCTGAAGAGGGGCAGAAACTGTTCCTGTGGAGGTGATCAGCCAAAGCTCAGTTAGGTGAGGGAGAAGGGTGTTTGTCACAGTGCTCCTGTACTGCTGGCTCCCAGCATCTCCTCTTTCCCAGTCACGAGCACATCAGGGGGAATTTTTGCTTTTTTGCAGAAGAGCAGCTGATGTGTGAAATTCTGATAAGAAGAAAAACACATACCTGGGTGCTACTTGAGCGTGCCACCCAATGCCTTCCCCTGGGGCGCGGCTCTCGCAGCCCACACCGGGTGGGAAGCATTCCAGAATTAATCCAACTAAATCCACTGCAAGCATGAAAAACAGCTTCAACAGTCCTTTCATGGCGTGTTTCTCATCCTGGTGGCCCAAATGCATTCCCAAGCCTTGTTAGCTCTCTGAGTCAGGCTTTGCCATCTGGCTGTGACCACACAAGCACTCTTTCCTGAAACCCTGGGGTGCAGGGTTTTGGGAGTTTTTGTTTTGGGCCCCATAGGAAGAAGTAAGTAGGCAAAAGAATTGCCCTTGTGTGTTACCTGTCAGTAAATTTTCACTCCTCTTGTTTCAACTTCAGGCAGGAAATAGACGACTGGGTCACTCTGGTATCTTCAGTCTGCAGGGAGGACAAAAGTGGATGCTGCCCTCAGGTGACATGTTACTGTACTTTATTTTAGAAAAAAAAAAAGTATTTCTTTTTTTCATTGCAAAACTGTGCAAAGGAATTTTCCTGATCTTTGCCTCGCAAGTTGCCTCTGACCTTGGTTACTCAGAAATCCATTTTCATATAAATCCTGTACCCTGGCTTTATGCATCAAGCGGGCATTGCCCAATCTGTCTGCACTGGGATTGATTTTACATTGAAGAAACCTCTTTGAAGAGGAAGCTATATGGAAATTAGGGGAGGATTGATATTGTGCTGCAATGAACCACACCTGTGATGCATCGGAATGAATACTTGTGTGTTGTACTTAGTGGTTGTATTTAGGATATATTTACATGTTGTTTTACATCTGTCAATGTTATGAATCAGCTGGGAGCCCTGGTAGTTCAAGTTCAGGCCCAAGTTTCTGCACCTTGTCAGCCAGCCAGGCCCACCAGTTTAGACTCAGCACTAAGCACTCACACCCCCACAGCTTCCATACAGCTCAAAGCAGGGCAAATTTATGTCTGCCTAAAAAATGCCATGCAGACAATGCCTCTGAGCCATTAGCAATAAAATTTGCTCTAGTGAGATGTGTCAGTACATTTTAGCCCACACCCAACAGGTGCCTGTTTTCTTATACTGTTTTTCCCTTGTTTCTAGAACCAAGATCTTCCAAATGCAGAAGTCAAAAGCCGGACTTCCTCTTTGCCACCATCCTTGAATTCCATAGATGTGGCCAGCCTTCCAGACAAGCCAAGCTACCAGAAGGTAAACAAATTAACTGTCCTTAATAATGAGTCTGTGCCTAGGCATGACTGTGACATTTCTTTTGCACAGTTGGTTTTTTTTTCCATCAAAAGCTGTTCAGAGTTTCTGCAGTGGGTCTCTTCTGGTGGGGACCCTGAGTGGGACCTGGGTGTAACACCACAGAGTCCCCACAAGGGAAACACTTTAGAGGCAAGTCTGCATGTAAGTGAAGGCAATGGGAGACAATACTCCCTGCTTGTCTCAACTGACTGGCAAATTTCAGTGAACATTAAGTAAACTCCTGAAGATTTGCTTTGGCATGCCTTGGCAGAGGCATGTGATGATTGTTTTGGCAGCTGCTAGCCACATTCCTCCTGGTTTGTGATTGTGCTTTTATTTCTCTCTCTCTCTTTTTAGGCTGTAAAGCTTAGAGGAGAGTTCAGATCAAATTCCTCTCTGCCTTACTGACTTTCCCCTCAATATTTAAATGGAAGGGAGGGAAAACACTGCTGCTGTCCCATAGTGATTGCAGTCCAGTGTCAGGGTGAAGGAATTGCTGAGTTTCTGTAGTCACACAGCTCTGTGCAAATGGCTCGGTGACAGGAAGCTGAATGTGGGTCAAGCACCTCCAGTGTATCTTTATGAGGAGTCAACTTTTTTCCTTTTTATACAGGAGAATGGTTCCTCAGAAGACAAGAACAGGCCTTATTCAGATCCTGGCCCCCATCAGGCTCAGTGTGACTCACCAAGAGTTCTTCCAAGCCCGGTGAGCAGAACAAATCAAACAGCTCTTGCCTTGCTCCATCTGCAGAAGTGAATATTGGATTTTATCTCACCTGGGTATTTGTGACCATAGATTATCCACCTTCTTTCCTAGCACATCGAGGTGATTTCCTCTATGAAAGCTTCCTAAATATTTAGTCAGTTTTCATGTTTACCACTGAAAATGTTCTCCTAAAAACTTGCTTGAAATACCTGTGTCCAGGGGTTTTGGAGTCAGAGCCTCAGTTTCTGTGCAGCAACTGCAACTTGGGGCAGCTCTCACAAACTTGATGAAGAAAGTTGTATATTTACAGTGGTTGAGGATTTGTCCCTCCCTGCACATTTCTCAGCTGTGCCACAGTTGTTCCTAAATGGTTTATTTCTTCAGCCTTTGCCAGTAGCAATCGAGTCAATGTAACTAAATTACAGAACAAGAGCTTGTTAAATTGAGGCACGTCTTAGAACTGACCTTCTGTCAGCATTAATATGTCTTCAAGTAATTTCACTTCCATATCTAGCAGGAGTGATTTGGAAAGATAAAAAGATGAATGTTATCTTGTATTAGTGGCTAAGTGTTCTGACCTGTGTTCCCTGAACTGGTGCCTGCAGCAGTTTTCCTCTGCCGTGGATTGCTGCCTTTGCAACAGAGTCAAGAGTACAGAAAGCACAACCAAGTCTCTACCAGATCACTCTGCAGCTTAAACCCATCTTTACTAACAGTTTATGCATTGACCTCTGACCTGGAGTGGCTGAGACACAGGGCAAAAGATCTGTTCTGCTATCACAGCTAACAGGGTGGTAAATCACATTCTGCAATCACCATCCTTGTATATAGGCTGACAGCAAGTGTGAGATAATACAGCTAAATTTAGTGGAAAGCAGTGAATAGTTGAAACTGCATTGCAATGCCATGGGCAGTCAGCATAGCCCAGCTGATGCACAGTACTTTATAAAGTTGCAGTAATTCGTTTGTGAGTCTGAGCTCTGAAATGCACTGAGCTAACCCTTGGTCTGATTTTAACCAGTCCTGCTCTGGTCAGGATGTCAAGAATTTCTTTGTGTCTCTTCCTTATGCATACCTTTCCTGTCTTATTAATTCTTCTCATACTTACAATGCCTCAGAGAGCAGGTATTATTATATGCAGCTGTTCAGGCTAAGACATGCTGACCATGAGGGTTAGAAGATAAGGGATTTGGATTTTAGCTTTTTAGCCTGAAGCAGAGGGAATAGCACAAAGCTCATGTTTCTGTTTTGGCATGTGTGAAAAATAAATAACCTTGCTGTATAGAGAACAAGAAACAACAATATTTGTCCATTGGATAAAAATATTTCTCTTGCCTCATAAGTTTAACATCTGCTAACATCTCTGGACCTATTCTCTGCTCAGTGACATGCAGACAACTGACTTCCTTACTAATCCCTTGTATTTACTTCCTTTTAGCAGTGTGAGTCCCCATTTCAAGCATCTGATGTGTTTTGCTTTTTATTGGTGGTTCCCTCATCCAGGCCCAGATCTTGAAAACTCTTTGTTAAGTAATTATCCCTCATGCAAATAGGATGTATCTTACCATGTTTTCTGTGAATATTTGCTGATTCTGTTACTTCTCCACAAAAAGGAAAAAATGCATGTTATTGTGTATAACTGAGCCTGTTAAATACAAACCCATTCTTTCAGCAGGATAAAATTCTGGGAAGAAGTGAGGAAAACCTGCTGTTGTCAGATCCAGAGGAAAACATGAAAAAGGATGAAGAAGATTATTACCAAACTCCCAGCAATGTTTTAGCTAAGGTAGTTTCTCAGCTGTGAGTTCTGCTGCTCTGTTAACAGCTCCAAGGACACAGGAGACATTCAATGAGCCAAAGAGGAACTGGTAGGAGGAACCACTTGTACCTTGCAAAAGGAATACATAGATAAAGCAATAGGTAATAGAGCTTTCATTTATACAAGAATAAAAAAATACACTGGACTCATTCAGAGGATCTTCCTGGTGCAAAGTGGCATTTTGACAAAAACATTGCCGATTTTGTTGAAATCCCCCAAATTGACTGTTTCATTGTTAATGGCTTTTGCCTATTGTATAATGGGGTAGGGTTGCGTTTTTTTTCTGAAATTGGAAGCTTCATTTAGAGAATGTAACAGTACATTAGTTTTATGTATTTTGAAATGTAATTCTGTTGAAAACCAGTAAGCTGCATAAAAGCAGTACTTTTAAACACTGCAGTACATTTTGGTATCCACATTTCACTGTGAAACAAGGCAGCAGGAGAAATCATGCTGTTAATTTTATACAAATTTTGACACCTGATTTGGGAGGCTAATTTCAGGAGAAGATAAGTGGTCAGAAGTGGTTAGTTTTCTGCAGAAGTCACAGACTGTACACCTGACTGAAGGACATTAACAATGGTGATGTGGTCACATAATACAAGTGCTCTAGGTCAAGCATACCCAAAGTACAAGTCTTCTTTTTCAGTCTGCTTAAATTAAAAGGCAACAATTTTATTTTTTTTCTTTTGGTGGTAGTACTTCAGAATATAGCTGGTCTCTGGCAGTGCCAATAATTCCAGCATTACCTTTTAAGTTTCAAGCACCTTTCTAGCTCCCAGTTTCTGGGAATTGACTGATTTGAGGAAACCCAGGCTATATTAGCCAATATGTTTAAACAGCATGAACACTGAACAAAATAAGGAAATTAATAGGGGTTTCTTCTGTAGGCAGGGCAATGACATTATTGTCTTACATTGCTGTCTGTTTCTGACAGTGCACTACTGAAGTACCAAAGCCTGACCCTACAGCTGAGTCTGATGTCCCTGTGCAAGAGGAGCCAGTGCAGAAGAACCCAGTAAAGGAGAACATTTATATGTCAATGAAATCACTGTAAGTAACAACTTCACTAAGGTTTTGGAAATTAAATGTGGCACAGCAATAGAGATAGAGCTGACATCTCTGGTATTTGCATAACAAGATCTAGAGGCTGCATCTTGTTTGAATGAGTCCTTGTTGGGTCTTAGTTCTCAAAGTTCAGCATTCATGGGAACATTGGAGTCAAATTCAAACTCATAAACATGAAATTTAAGCTCACACTGCAGACTCCTGCACTTACACAGGCTCTCACTATACAATGCAGCACCTTTTGTTGACTCATACTTTTTCTGGGTTTTCATGACAACAGCTCACCACTTTAGTGAGTCACTGCAGCCAAACTCCCACAGCCTTTCAGACAGGTGCTCTCCAAAGCAGGCAGCATTATCTAGAGGTTAAAAGAGAAAGGTGGAGATGAGGCATTAGCTCCCAGCTTTTGCATTAAGAAGTTGTGTGGGTTAGGACACATCCTCCCTTTCATCTGGCCATCCAAAGAGCAGCTCTGTTGCTGTGTGTTTTGAAGGTACAGTGTTTGCCATGTCACAAAGAAGGACCTGAACTTTGTGTCACAGTTCTAGGGCCACAAGGAAACTCTACAACCTCCACAATATAGCACTGAATACTGCAGAGAACAGTGCCTGCAGGGTAAGGCTCCTCCTGAGCCAGAGGAGGGGTCAGTAGCTGACAGCTGTGGCCTGACACCTACACACAGACCTTGGGCCACATGGAGGGAGACATCTGGAAATGCAGACCCATGAACCAGACAATCCCAATAGATTAATTCAAGCTTCTCTGTGTCTTTGGGACACCCCAGAGGGAATAACTATAAAAATTCACAAGGTTATGCCATCTGAGTTAAAATAAACCAAGAGCAGCTTTTTCTACTAACCCCAGTCTTGTTTGGGGCACAATGGGGAGACAGGTCCAGGCAATATAAGGCTTATCAAATAAAACTAAAATTATTTCAAGTAGTTCTGAGTTATCACATCTCCCAAGGGACAGCCTTACATCCCTGCAGAACCCAGTACAGCCAAGGCCAACAATCTGTACTCAGTTTCTTTGTCAAGGCATGCTGTTAGCTGAAATGTTTCCAGGCTTAATAAATAGTTTTTGCATACTGAAAACGTTTATTTTGAGATTTATGATCCATATTTAGAAGAGCTGTTTATTTTACTTAGATTTTATTTTGTCCACTGGATATTCTACAAGAACTTGTTATTCTTTGCTTTATTGAGGGCTGCTTGATCCAACTTCAAACACAGCAAGAGTGCCAAAAATTGTCAAACCCCTTAATTTTTTATCATCATTCCTCTTTAGTAAGCTGCTGGATGAGACATGCCAGCCCACATGCAGACGTGATGGGCTCCCATCCCCTCCCAAATGCCAGAACAACAGTGCATGTCCAAGAGACTTGGAAGCAGACAAAGACACAAAATTCCCAGAAAGCAGCACCAGCCTGCAGCCAGCCCTCCAGAAAAGGCAAAGCTCAGTACCCCTCTCAGTGGTTCACCTGTCTATACTGCTCAGGTAAGTGTCTTCTCCAGCTGGTAGCAGAGGAGACAGACGTGTTCATGGGTTCCATCTTGCCAAGCCTCTCAGCATGCCAGAGGCACTTTAGTCATGCTTTTAGTCACAGCATTTAGTTTTAGGGAGTCTGCAAGGAGCAGGGAGCTGGACTCAATAATCCTTATGGGTCCCTTCCAATTGGAGCTGTTCTGTGATTCTGTGGTTTCTGATGTTTTTTATCTCACAGTCAAGTTACAGATGAGATGCAGGTGCAGAAATTGGATATCTTCGTACCCCTGGCTGATATCAACAGTTACCTAAAGCTTACTGAAGCAGCAGGACGAATATGGTAAGTGTGGATGTCTTGTGGCAGTGCCTGCGAGATGGGAATAAGTGACAGGCACAGAAGTGTTCAACTGCAGACACCCACCCCACCCAAAACTGCAGTTTTGGCAGGGCAGAACAGGGCAGGGGCAGTGCTTGCTGGCACTTCAGTGGTTCCTTCTGCTCTCTCCAATTATTTTTGTACTTGAGTTTGTATTTCAAATGCTGTTGTAAAGAAGAATCTAGCATGCTGTGTAATAACTAGTGATGGTTTCAACCAGAACCAGACCAAAAATTTACAAAGTCATTGAACATGTGTGTCATTTCCAGAGGGCAGCCCCATGAATGCAGTCCTGCCCAGAAAGTGCAGTGATACAGGATATCCTGTGTGTTTCCTTTGTTGTCTGCCCTCCACAGCATCTCACAGTGGGCTGGTCCTCGCAGGCTGGGGTGTTTGTTTAACCACGGAGACCATGTGGTGGCTGTGAATGATCTGCAGCCCCAGGGTGTGGAGGAGGCTTACTTCTTCATCAGCAGGTCCACGAGAAAGGAGGTAAGCTTGACTGACCTTGACTCAAATGTACCAAGCCAAATGAGAAAACAATTCCCCTTTTTGCATTTCAATTCAAACCAGTTTACTCTGGTGTAGGTTTGGCATGAATAATCCAGCACCAAGTATCTCCTCAGCATCATTCTGATGTGGTGTCTTGTATTCCTGAGCTGTGTGGGGAACACAAGGTCAGCACTGCAGAGTTTGAAGAAGACTTTGAGCAACACCAAGAGATGTTACTGGGCAACCATAAACTAAAGTTACTTGGGATTTTTATGCCTAATGCATATAAATTGCAAGTTTTGGGAAATAAACCATTGCCTCCAGGGGATGTGTGGTTGTTTGGGTATTGAGGGCAGAGCCCTGGACTCCTATGTCCTAGCACTACACATCTCCTTGTGTGAGACTGTGTTTTTTGAAGAACCTGGGACATTTCTAAGATGTTCTTTAAACCAACTGTGATCCACAACATGTTTCTGAACTCATATTTCAGTATTCAGGTTCATGACCTATATCCAAACACATTCATATTTGAATTCTGCTGAGGAGGTTGAGGTCATGAGATGCTATTGCCATCTAATGAAAGGAAAGGCAGTCTCAGCAAGGAAAAAAATACTCATCTCTCTTTATGGAGAATTTTTATTTAGTTAGTTCAAATACAAGTCAGATAGTTGCACAAATATTGATCAGATATAACAAGTTTTAAAAATGTCCCTTTTTTTCTTTTTAAGGTGAAACTTACTGTATGTAGGATTCCACATTCAGATACCTTCCATGCTAAAGGCTGCTCATGTTCCTGAAAAAAAAAAGACCTCAATGATTAAGTAAGTGCCAACACTCAAGAGAAAAGATCAGGGAGGAGAAGGTGATATATGTAGAGATAATCATTTTCTTGAGCTGCCAGACATCTTCTGCTGCTGAAGTACAAAGCACGGAGAATGTGGATTTCGATTTATGTCCTAATAACTTATTTTGTGGCATGAATGGCATGTGTTTGGCTTATATTTCATGTCGCCCTGTATTTCTGTCACACGGAAGAAAATGAGGGTTAGATAATTTACCTGACCTTTGCGCTGTGTATATTTTTCATTTCAGCAGGAAATACTGGTTTGTGCCTCTGCTCACCTCTTTACACTGAGTTACAATGGTTTATTAGTGAACTCCTAAGCAGCTAGAGGTGGGCAAACAACCAGCATTTGGACTAAAGCTGTGTTTTCCCTGGGTTGCCCTTAGCTACTGAAAGGCTTAGGTGAGCTAGGAGCTGCAGTGTTGGAGGAAAGGCTGGTGTATAAAATGTTGTGCAGTGATTCAGTGGAGTCTCCTTTAGTGTTATGCCCCTCTTATGATACAGCCACAAAAGTGCATCCAAGGGATGGCAGGAAGAAGAGCTGGTTGGAGAAAGGATGTGTCTGGAGCACCTTTGGGTTCATTGACAGCCAAGATAAGCCCTAAGTGAGAAAGCAATTCATGGATTTGGGAGAGAGAAGGGCTGACCTGCTCTGTGAAAAGTAAAGCCAGCTGGTGCAACTTAATTCAGTAGCAAATTTGACAAATTTGCTGGACTTAAAAAAATATAGTTATAAAATTTTATTCAGCTGAAGATGAAAACAGCATCAGTAACTCAAAACAGACAAACACAAATATGTATATAATCTCTTCAGATTCAGCTTCTTTTCAAAAGATTAATTTCCAGACTGAATGTTTCCACAGCCTGTCACTTCTGCCTTTGAGATAAGAGTGTTCAGGACATGCTTGTTTCTCAAGGTGGAAAGGATCACATTTTGATTTTTCTGTTTCAGTGGTGTTCAAAGGCCTGTTTGTGCTGAATTCTGCATAAATACAGAGGGAACTCCCAGTTCTGGAACTACAGAGGCTGAAAATATAAAACACATTCCTTGGGAGCTCTTCTCCAAAGCTGCTGTGGGAGTCCCATGCTCTGCACTGCTGCTTTGAGCACAGCAAATGCATTTCTGCCTAAGGAGCCCCCGAGGGATGGGATGGCTGGCTGTCACCATCCAGGACTTCTTCCAGTCCTGAAACTCTGTCAGTCTGCTATGACAGTCCTCACGGCCTGAATCCTAAAATCAGAGATCACCTACTTCAAGAGCATCTACTGAGAATTTCATCCTCAGCCTTTCCTGGCCAAAGTTTGCCTCAGCTCTTCTGAACTTTGGAAAAGGAAAGTCCAAACTTTTCTGTGTTCCTCCAAGGCTCAATCTCTGTAAAATCAGGAAGTTATTTTCTAATATTTATCCTAGACAAATTTTTCAGAAAATTAACATGACTTTTTTCTTGCCCTGTTTTCAGTGGGCAGAGGGAACATTTGGATTGCCACTGTCTGCACAGAAATCTTCATTGTGGAAGATATTTTTTCTATTCTCCCTTCTCTTTTTCTTAGACCAAACATCCTCCATTCTTCCATCATTCTTTCAAACGGATCCTGAAAATGGTAATGCGAGACAAATACCTTGTGTTTCCAGTTATGGATGAACCAAGGAGGTGAGAAATTGAAATTTAAAGAATTCAATTCAAATTGAATTCAAAGAATTCAAATTCTTTTTGAATTTCATCAGAAAGAAATCCAAAGCCATGAAGCAATTTCCTAGAACTTTAGAGAAACATTTCTCCAAAGAGGTGAATTAGTGAGGAAGATCCCCCATGGTGGTGGGAGAAGAGCCACCTCCATGGAACCTGCTGCTGAAGCAGATGCTGAGCACTGCATGCTGCACCTCTCAGCCATGGAAGAATGATACTTTTGGACAAAAGCAGCATTTAGTTAGATATAGCATGTACAGAATAATTCCAGAATGTTTTAGAGAACTGGGGGATTACTTCTGTGCTTCAGTAAACAGTTACAGATGTGTGACTCCATAATTGATCATTATGTCAGTTTGCACTGTGCTAAATGCAGATAATTAATGTCACATATTGGCTGATTCATAACACTTACAGAGACAATATGGAAATGACATTGGTACAGTAAATTCTGGTAGGGTGTGTGAAGCTGTCTGCCCACATATGATTAATAAATGTCCTAACACTTTACAACACATTGTATGCAGCAAAACACCTCATTTTCTCCTAACATGGCCCCTCCTTGCCCTGCAAAGATTACCTGTAACTTCCCAGTAATCTGCAGCTGAGTCACTTAACAGCCCATTAAAAAAAAAAAATAAATCTTCACTTAAATAAAGATTTAGGTTGTTTCCCTGGCTGTTAATTTGTGGCACTTTTCTATGCTGCTCTCATTAGTGGCTACCAATATTTCCCCGTGGATTCCCAAACTTGACTCATGCTCTTTCTACTGCAGCATCTAGCTAGGAAGATGGCAATGGCCCAGGAGAAAAGCAAGTCCTGGAAGAGAGATAAAGTAATGGTAAGGGAAGTCTCTATATTGATGTGAGGTCATTGAAGTTAAGAAAAATAAAAAGCCCATTGAACAGAAAGCACAAACCAGACCACACAAGCTCCACACTTCCTCCCAAGGGCAACACTGCTGAGAACTGGGCTTGGAGTCATAAAGTGATCAAGAGAGCACAGGTCCTGCAGCAGAATGAGTCCAGCCAGGGAAGGTTATCTGTGCAGTGCCCACCCTGAAGTGAGCCAGAGACAAGCTCTGTGAAATGCTTAATTCTCTTGTTAGAGGCCCTCCAGCCTGGGGGATTGGAGGGATAGCTATATATGCAATAGGGATGTCTAAATAAATACCTACATATTTAACAGGGATATCTAAGTAACAACCAGACATACTTCAGTGTGGCTGGAATTTCTGCAAAGGGAGGCAAAGAGGAGCAGCTGCAGTAAAGGAGAGTGATGATACCCTGCACACTGCAGGGAGAGTGGATCTGTGGTGAGCTGGGGACACCAGGTGCTTAATCTGTGTTTTGCCCCAGATTTTCTGGTGACCTCAGGCGAGCCATTTCCTCAAACACACTCAGTAACATTCAAGGAGTGGTTTCAGACTCATTTGCATCATGCTGTCCCTTACCATGAATGTGCTCTCCAGCACCACATTCAATACTAGGAATTGCTTTATCTCCCAGAAATTTCCTGGAAAAGCCTCCATCAGACCTGTATGTTACAGGTTTGAGGGTGGGTTCATCGATGCCCTGTGCTGTGGGGAGGTGCTGATGTGCTGGTTCCATGCCAAGGGAGAAGCCACCCTTGATGTCCTGCAGGAACTGGCTTACCTGAGTCCCTGCAGGCACTCTGTCCTGAGGGAACGTGGGGTGATGTTCCCACTTCCCTGCAAGGAGCTGGCTCACATCATCTGTGGTGCTCATGGAAATCTGCACCAGCAGGCACTGTGGAAATCTTCCCAGTCACATGGATTCCTCCACCATTTCAGGACCTTTAGGGGACACACTAATATTTACAAAGGTGTTTCCCTGCTGGTGCTCCCTTGGTCAGAGCAGGGGCTGGAAAGTGCATGTCCTGAGTGTCTGCCTTGGGTCTCTGGAGATGACAGGGTAATCTGAGGTGCTCCAAGGGCTTTTTTGGTTTGTTTCCCAGGGATGAACACTCCTTCCATGTACAGGCCTCACCATAGCCGGCCACTTCCCTCCTGCAGACTGGCCAGCAAGTCACTGCGAGGAACTTGGACCATGCCAGGCAGTTCCTAGAAATGCCACTGGAATTTTGAATGCTCCTTTTGGCCCCTTACCACCTTCTAAGTTATTGCATCCCTTAAAGAAGTGGAGAAGCCAGACAAGGTTGATACAAATCTTTCATTCAGGAAATCACTTTAAGTGAAGCCATACCTTCCCTGTGAGGACCCTCAGTGACCAGGAGCCCCGTGCTTGCTGCTGACAGCTCCTTGGTGGCTCCATCTATCAGCAGGACCAGCACTTTGGGGGGCACCAAGCTGCTCTGGTGGCAGCAGGACTGGACTTGCCACAGCAGGTGTCTGGCCATGTTCAGTTTTTCATCCTGGGGTGCCTGAGTTGATCTGTGCCTGGGAATTTGTTTTGTTTATAACCCAGCAGTGGAGGATGAAATTGAAGCATCGGTGGGAGCATAAAGAGCATGGCTATCAGTGGTGCTAATCTCCTTTTAAAATGTTGGATATTTGTGATGTTTATCAGTAAGTGCATCACTGAGCTTCAGCCTTTTTTAAATTTTCTGCTTCTGTAAATTTTCTCAAGAAATCTGTTTCTGTCTGTGCCTATAAAACACAGCATAAAGCCATGGTTTATGCCTCAAGGCTGTTGGAAGGATACTACCTCCTTCAGTGATGAGGGTTGCACAATTTTTTTTTTAAACAAGATAAGCCAATGTTTTTGAGTAGTTGCTCCTCAGCAGCATCTACTGATCAGTCACATATTCTACACCAGAACACTTTTTGCCAAAATAATCTCGTTTATATGCTAAATGTCCTGAAACTAAGTGCCCTACAGGAATTTTGGCCTTCTGTCCTCCAATTTGCTCCTCTTCTATTTTATTCAATGTCCAAAGTCATTCTTCACAGATGTCATTTTGCTTCCAAGCAATTGCCCTTGTGCTCCAGTTTCTAAGAATAAAAGTGAATTCTGGCAGTGTAATATTTCTGAGAAATCCCCAGTAGTAGAAAAGTAGCTGGGGGTAGAACAAAGAGGAAGGTAAACTCAGTCACGAGGAACAACTATAAACAACAAGAGGGACTGTGGATAGGAAAAAAAAATATGTCAAAGATGGTAAAACAGGAGTTCTCTGCTGTAAGTACATTTTTGTTATACTTGCTGTATATGAAAAAAAAAATAAAATTAAAAGTCTGCTTCAGATTATTTCCCAGCATCAGACAAGTGTCTTTTTTTGTAGCGCCTTCCCTCAAGGTCAGCTAAAACCTTGAAAAAACCCAGAGTAAATATGTGTCCAGTCTCTCTGGCACCTGGATGAAACATCCCCTGCACAGTGCTCTGGTCACCCTGGGACCTCTCCATCCATTTGTCTTTTTAAGTTCTGCCAGTGGCACACATGCTGATGATCACAGGCTGATCAGTGCAGGGGTGTTTTGGCACTGCAGCCAGAAGACAGGAGGGTGTCTGTGCCTGCAGGAGGGGTGGTCACTGCTGTCATCCCCAAAAGGGACCCACACCAGTGCCCCACACGTGTCAGTGGGCTGTGGCACCACGTGGTGATGTTAGCTGTCCCTTTGGCTGTGTTTGGTATGAAAAATGGGTGAATGAGGCCCACTGAAGTTCCTGCACTGCCCCTTTCAGAGCCCCCACAGCTTGAACTGAACCTTTCTGGAGCACAAGAAGTTCATGGCAGGTTCCTGCCCTGCTCCTCCAGTAGGGCCAAAGCCACGATCCAGTCAGGGAATGGTGCCCAGCAAGGTTTAGAAATGTTCAGAATGCCAACATTCCCCTGAGTCACTCCAGCTGAAATGGTGGGGGGCTCTGCCAGTGGTGCTGGTGTGGGCAGGGAGGATGCAGACCCCCAGCTGCCCCTGACAGCAGCTCCAGAGCCATTCCCTTCTTGCATCCCACCCTGCTGTCCTCAGCCTGACTTTTCCCATGTTCTGAGTCATCCTTTGCCAATGAGCCCCAAATAAGCCCATCCCTGCTGCCCCCCACCCCACTAATCTTTTTGGGTAGTTAATAATTTCCTAATGAGCTGTCACTAACTGCACCACTGTCCTGCTGCACTCACCCCCTCCCTGCCACTCCTTGGTCAAACACAGAATACTTTGGGTTTATATGGCAGAAAATCAGCAACCTCCACACACCACTGGAAATGTTTGTCATGTCCTGGAAGGCACCCATAGTCCACAACAGCCCTGTCTTGCCCCACTGCCCCCAGGCTGTCAGTCCATGCCATTCTTGGGGTGCCAATTTCCCCTGCCTGGCTGTTGGCCCCACAGGTGAGCCCCAAGGAACGAGCTGGGCTGTGACCATGGAGGTGTTAGTGGAAAACCAGGCTCCTGCTGTGCTGCAGAGCTCAGTTCCTCAGATGGTCACTGGGTAGCAGCACAAAGAACAGAATTCCAGCTTTACCTCCCTTGTTCAGGCAGTAGATGTGACCAAGAGCAGGGCAGAGAGCCAAGTAAATAACAAGGTCTCAGTAACAAGAGAAATCCAGTCTGCCTTCCTCTGATTGAAGCCCTGCTGAGATAAATGCTCCAATCCATCTCTTCTCTGTAACAGGAGCTGAAAAGTGGGTCAGATCCTGCTGCTGGCACTGCTGTATTTGGGGAGGTCTCTGCCAGGAGCTGGAGTGATCAGAAAAAAATCAACTTTGCTTCTCACAACAGAGTTCACTGAAATCCTGGCTTCTGCAGGGAGGAAGATTGTGGTGGACAAGCAGGAGGGGTGGGAGGCAGCAGGAGGCAGCACATGCAGAACCCCACAGCCAGCCCTGGTCTTGCTGAACTCGGCTGCAAAGTCACTGCTGTTGGCATTTGTGTCCTCGTGTCACCTTTTCCAGTGCATTGCTTGTATCTTTTTCCCTGAGGTGGTGATCTTTCCTCCTCTTCCACCCCTAATAAGCAAGACAACGTACAGAAGGAAAAGTGAACAAAGTTTAACCAAAAAGCCAAATGGGAAAGATTAGAGGTTTTAAAACTGTTTGGTTTATATAAGAACTTATTTGAACCTGGCACAAACAAGTGCCTATCTGCTCTGAGATACCAGAGCAGATGTGACAGAGTGGAAAAGCCTTTTCCCTGCCAAAGTATTTGGTGGAGATTTGATAACAAGGTGCCATTGTACAACAGTGGGTAAAGGTCCAGAGCAGAAAGGAGAAAGAGAAGAGGCCTCCAGGCAGTGCAGGGCTCTGCCTTGGTGGGCTGCAGCTCCTCCACCAACCCTCCTGCCTGCAGACAGCAGGTAGAGCTGGTTGGATTCAGTGGGAAAGCAGCAGTCAGCTCCCCTGTGCTGTTCTCCTTCTCTGCAAACAGTGACAGACTGTCTTATCCCTTCATTTGTGTTAGAGGCTGAAATCTCCTGGATTTCTCTGCACTGCTGGGGAGAACATTGAATTGAGCACTCCAAATGCACATTTATAATCTGTACCATGATATGAAACTTAAGTATAAGATCTTCAATTTTTGATATTGGTACTGACAAGCTTTCAGTATTTCCTGTGAATTTCATTCATGCCAGTCATAATTCCCACTAGATACTAATACTGTGTGGTTTACAAACATTAATACTGAATGTTTTGCAAACACACTTGGTTTGGAATGGTGGCTATTGAATAAAATGCCAAATTTCATAATTTCACTATAAATCCTTAACACATAAAGCAGCCTGTGACCCACCCTTAAAAGTTTTGGTTCTGAAATGAGAAGCAGCTGGTTTTCTGTAGCCAAGGAATGATGGAAATGTTTGGGCTGCATTCTTTTGTTCTCAAAACTCACCTGCTGGGGTTTTTTCCCTCTACCAAAGAAAAC